CTACGACGACGACTACTACTACTACTACTACTACTACTACTACTACTACTACTACTACTACTACTACTACTACTACTACTACTACTACTACTACTACTACTACTACTACTACTACTACTACTACTACACTACTACCACCACTACCACTACTAGTGGGCCGCCGACACCTCCTCGCTGCCTCCTGTCGTCGCCGTCCGACTGCGCCCTGGGGGCGGAGGGGGCTCTTGGAGGGGCGGTGGGCGCGGCAACCAGGCTAGTGGCCGAAGACGAACTCCCGCCATCGGCCCCGCTCGAACCTGGGACGGGGGGCGCCTCGAGCAACGGCTCATCGTGAGGCCCTCCCCTCTTGCTAACAGCCCCCGATGTCGAAGACGATGCAGTGCGGATGCCAGGCCGAGAAGCCCGCCGAGGTGCGCCATCGAGTAGATCGGGCGCGGGTTGGCGCCCAGCCGCCGCGCTGGAGGTGCTATGATGGGGGGACTCCATCTGCTCGAAACAGGCGCCCAAAACAGCCAAGATCTACTCCAAGGGTGGGGGAGGGGGGGGTACGAGGGCCCGCGCCGATCGGCAAAACAATGAATAAACAAACGATCGCCTGAGTGGGCTGAGCATGACGAGTGCTCGACGCGCGCTGCGTAACGTCGGCCACTGGCCATGAGGTCTGCGCTCCTTGGCTGCTCTGGGCCTGCGAGCGAGCAGACACTTTATAATGCCCTCCACCGTCCTCGACAGCCGCTGCTGGCTTTGCCTCGCACTAACGCTGCCGCGTTTTGCCTGCGAGCGTCGCTGCCATGGCTTCCTGCTCCACCTGGAAAGCCTTGGCTTCGTTGGCTGCCTGCCCGAACATGGTCCTGATTGCCGCCGCGAACTCTCATTGCAGCCGCGCGGCCCGCTCCTCGAGCTCCTTCTTGCCAGTCTCATCCATCTCGTACTCGCCACCTTCGAAGCCCAAACCTGCGAAGGACAGCGGGATCTGGTCCGCAGAGCCGTCCAGGATGCTGGCGAAGCTGAGCGCAGCCACAGGAGGGGTCGGGTCCAGGTCCACAAGTTGCGCATTGAGCTCCATGACTGACACTCGTTGCTCCTTATCTCGCTCGTCCAGGTCCTTGGCCACTTGCGCCACCCGCTGACGCTGCTGCTTCAGGCCCTCCGACAAGCGTTCGAAGTGACCCACCGCGCGCTGCAGCTTCTGAGAGCTCCTGCACATGCTTGTGGGCTGTTGTGATACGCTTACGCAGGGGCGCCGCGTGCGCCGCTTCTGCGGCCTTCTTCTGCATTTCCTGCAACTGTCGACGGTGCTTTGTCGGCCCGCCCTTGTCTCATGCCTTGTCCGGCATGGCGCAGAGTTGCTCAAGCTCTTGAACATTCATCCCGCCGGAGACTGTCGTCCCTTGCGCCACCAAAAACTGAGCCCCGGGCACGAAAGGAAACGAGAAGGAGCCGTCGCCGTCGCCTGTGCCGCCCTTGCCGTCAACTCATTTACCTTTGCCATGACCGCCAGCCTTCCCGCCCGTGTTCTTGGAAACCTTGCCCGAGTCAGGCGGACCCGCGCGCGACCACACACCGCCAGGCTCCTTGACAAGGGGTGGCACGGCATCAGATGACTTGTGCCCGCGCGCCGTACAGAATATGCAACTTTTCGAACGAACTCTTCTTGCAGCCGCGACGAAAACAGGCGGGCCCCAGGCCTTTTGCTCCTACAGCCTCCCAGCCCTGTGTCCCACGATTCCAAATCACGCCACTGGATGCCGCTTCGAGCCAATGGGCCTGACTTTCACCACGGGGGCCACTGATCGTTATGGTAGCCAGCAGCAGCAGCAGCAGCAGCAGAAACCATCGCATGCACCGAAGACAAATCCGCTCGCTCGCGGGAGCGGGAGGCAGCGCAACGACTGGGGCTGACCAGCTTTCTCGAGGAAGAAGGACTGCCAAGCGAACGCCTGGACTGTCTCGGATCAGCGGTTGCCATTCTGCACTCAGGAAAGCAAAGCGGCTTGAACCAAAATGGGTTGAACCATACTGTCTAAGGAGGAGGCCATCAGCAATGCACAGCAATTCGTGGCGGACGTGGCCAGCACGAGCACTGGGAAGACCTCGAGGACGACCCCAAACACACCCTGCGGCAGACATGCTGCACCACGCCCTTGTCAACGCAGTGCGCGAGTGGACGTGAGGAGGCGGAGGAGACAGGGAGGAGGCGGCCCGGGCTCGCCACCGGGCCACTCCGCCCGTCGGCCCCGCGCGCGCGCGCCGCGCGGCGCGGCGGGGCCGAGGCCGCCCACCGGGTCTCCGCCCGCGCACGTGTCGCGGAGCGCGGCGAGCGCGCGGCCCTGCAGCGCCTCCCCCCGCGGCCGCGCGCGGCAGCCCGCCGGCCCGGGCGAGGTGCCCCGCCCCCCCCCGCCCGGCCCAGGTCCGCTCACAGAGGCGGCGCCGCAGGAGCGCCCCCCGCGGGGCCACCCGGCGGCCCGAGGCGGATCCGGCCGTGGCAGCGAGGGGCCTCCGGGGGGGGGGGGGCCCTCCGAGGTGCGCCCTCCCCGGACCCCCGACGTTGTGATTCTTCTTCAGAGCGTCTACCCCCAGAGGTCGGGACCCCTTCCCCTCCCCCCGGGTTTTTCTCATGCCGAGTCGTCGTTCTTTGACGGCCCCGGGGCCCTGTGACGGCCCCCGGAGGCCGACACTGACGAGAGAAACAACTCGTCGCGATTTCTGTCCCAAAGCGAAGGGGTATGGGTCTCCGGCCGACTTCAAGCAGAAGGCTCCCTCCCCCAAAGGTCTCAAGCCCTTGCACCTGCCCCTGCCCCTGCCCCTGCAGCTCCTCGCCCTGCTGCCGTCGCCCGTGCTCCTCTGGCTCTTGCTGCTGCTGCTGCCGCTCTTCCCGCTTCTGCCGCTGCTGTTCTGGCTGCTGCCTGCTGGCTCCCCCTGCTCCTCCTCCCGGCCCTGCTCCTGGTGCTCCTCGTCCCGCGCCCTTCCCCCCAGCCCTCCATTCGCCAACGCTCGGACGTCCATTCCCCGTGCGTTTTTTCGGCTTCGTGCGCTCATCTATTTTTCCACACGATGATCCCAGATGCATGCCGATGGTCCTCTCCGAAGAAGAAAAAACGCCCACGCCCGAGCGATGCCAACGTCCAACTGCTTCCCCTCGACCTGCTCTGCTCTCGTCTCTATACGGCTCCTGCTCTGGCTCCTCATTCCCGCTGCGGCCCCCCCTCCCTGGCGCGCGGAGCGCGCTAGGGGCTGCGCAGGAAGCTTCGCAGGGAGGGGGCCTCAACGCCGACTCAAGACCTCCTCGCGGACCTCCAGAAGCTAACATCTGAGCTGCAAATCCTTCTCCGACCGAAATTCCCAAAGCTTTCAGGGGAGCGGCACCGAGACGCACGCGCCCTCTCGAACCCACCCCGGGCCTCGCGAGGGCGCACCTTCATGAGCGCTCTTGGCATGAGGGCGGCCTCGCGAACTCGGCATGGGCTGGTTTCGCCGGGGATGGCTTCGCAGGCGGCTGGTCTCGCTGGGGCTGGTTTCGCCGACGGCTGGTTTCGCCGGCGCGCTGGTCGGCGTGGTCGGCGTTGTCGTCGTCGTCGTCGTCGTCGTCGTCGCGGGCGGGACCCTAACGGGTGGGTCGGGCGGGCCAGACCATAACGGGAAGGTCGGGCGGGCGGGACTCTAATGGGCGGGTCGGGCGGGCGGGACCCTTGCGGGCGGGTCGGGCGGGCGGGACACGAAAGCGGGCGGGCTTGCCAACAAGCGAACGTGTGGGACCCTAACGGGCGGGCAGGTGGGACCCTGAGGGGCGGGCGGGACATTAAAGCGGGCGGGGGGGCTTGCCATCACGCGAGCGTGCTGGACCCCAACGGGCGGGTCGGACGGGCGGGACCCCAACAGGCGGGTCGGGCAGGAAGGCGTGAAGGAGAGCCGAGGCAGAGGGAGGAGGGAAAAGGAGGCAGCGGGGAGGAGGGAGGAGAGAACAGGAAGGATGTGGACTGGGAGACGGAAGAGAACCAAGAGCAAGAAAAGAGATCAGGGAGAACGGGCAGCGAGGGATGGGGAAACCAGAAACGCACTCCGGGGCACGCCAAAGCCTGGGACAGGAGGAAAGGGAAGGGGTACTAGACCCTGACATTGAACATTGCGGGGATTCCTTTTTTCACAACCATCCTGTGGTGTTGGGTCCTCGTCTTGAAGAGGCAGTGCCCCGCGTTCCTTCTCCTCCTCGCCCCTCCTCCCCATCCTCCCTCTTCCCATCCCTGCCTCTGCCCTCCGCGTGTCCACCATTTCAGCGCACTCAGTACAACGTTTCGTGGCCATATAGGGAGCTCCACCGAAGGTCCCAGTGGCTGTGATCACATGCGCCAGCGCCAAACAGTACAGCGCTTCGTGGCCGCATAAGGAGCTCCACATGCGCCCTGTGGGTCGACTCTTTGCACGCCCGAAATGGGTACCGAAAGAATGGGTACGATGCCCAACAACAAATGTTGTCCCAAACCAACAGCGGCCGCTGTTGAACCGGCGGCCTTCTGTCTCGAATGGACACAGGCCGCGGCGGCGTGGACAGCGAATCCTGCTCAAAATGAACAGGAACTGCTGTTGGGCATCGTACCCATTCTTTCCGTGCCCATTTCGGGCGTCCAGAGACTCGGAATGCCACTCGGATCGGGCCGCACCGGCATGCAGCCGAGATCGACTCTGGCCGGCCGCCCCGGGAGGCACAGCGGCGCCACGCAGTCTAGTCGGGCCACCTCGGACCGTCGGAGGATCGGGCCCAGGTCGGATCGGGCCGGCCAGGACCGCTGCCGAGGCGGATGGGTCGGATCGCAGCGGACGCCGCCTCGTGCCTCGCCCGCCGCTTCCCGGAGCGCCCCACGCGCGCGACTGGCCTGCCCCCCCCGGGCTGACTCCCCTCGGCCACACACGCAGTGAGGCTTTGACCCCGGGCAGGAGGGCCCTTCGGCGCGCGGCCTCGGGGAGGCCACGCCCACGCGCGAAGGGCTGCTGCTGTCGCGCAGCACTTCGCGATCGGGGGCCTCGTGTCGGGGGCGACGATGGGGGCGAATAGACTGGGGGAGTTCTATACGCGTATCCAGGGGCGCTGATGGTCCATGCCTTCAGCGAGGCTCCCAGGCGAATACGTGTTGCGCCCGCCCGTGGCCTATTCGACCCTACCGTCGCCTCCGACAGTGGGCCCGACCACTCAGGCGAAGGGTCAATCCTACGTGTAGCCAGTCCCACTGGCGCCCTGTTGCCAGCATGGGCGCGGAGCGCGACCACTATCGCCTCGATGACTCCCGCCTGCAGGGGGAGCAGCACGCGTCCTCCTCCCCTCCTATCCTCCACCTCCGCCTCCTCTTCTCCGCCTCCTCCTCCTCCTCCTCCTCCTCCTCCTCCCGCACCTGGCACGATGTAGGCCTGGGCGATTTTGGCGTTTTTACCTAACAGCGAAGACTGTTAGGTTTCTAGTAGGGTCAAAGGAGAGCATCATGACGCCCCAAAGGGGTCTGGGCGCGATTCCGGGGGAGGATGCCGGGGGGATGCCGGGGAACTCGTTTTAAGCAAACAGTAACGCACTTCGTGGTCTTCGAGTTCCCAGAACTTCACTCCTGGGCATGATTTTGAATGCCCGGAGCCAACTGTAGGCCACTTCGTGTTCTTCGCGTTCCCAGAACTCCATTCCTGGGCATGATTTTGAATACCCGGAGCCAACTGTAGGCCAATTCGTGGTCTTCGAGTTCCCAGAACTCCATTCCTGGGCATGATTTTGAATGCCCGGAGCCAGCTGTAGGCCCTTCGAGTTCCCAGAACTCCATCCCTGGGCATGATTTTGAATGCCCGGAGCCAACTGTAGGCCACTTCGTGTTCTTCGAATTCCCAGAACTCCATTCCCGGGCCACATTTTGAATGCTGAGGCAGGCTGATGCTGAGGCTGAGGCAGGCTGAGGCTGAGGCAGGCTGACGCTGAGGCCGAGGCTGAAGGCAGGCTTAGGCTGAGGCTGAAGCAGGCTGAGGCTGAGGCTGAGGCAGGCTGAGGCTGATGCTGAGGCAGGCTGATGCTGAGGCAGGCTGAGGCTGAGGCTGAGGCTGAGGCAGGCTGAGGCTGAGGCTGAGGCTCATGCAGGCTGAGGCTGAGGCAGGCTGAGGCTGAGGCCGAGGCTGAAGGCAGACTGAGGCTGAGGCTGAAGCAGGCTGAGGCTGAGGCTGAGGCAGGCTGAGGCTGAGGCTGAGGCAGGCTGATGCTGAGGCAGGCTGAGGCTGAGGCTGAGGCTGAGGCAGGCTGAGGCTGAGGCAGGCTGAGGCTGAGGCCGAGGCTGAAGGCAGACTGAGGCTGAGGCTGAAGCAGGCTGAGGCTGAGGCTGAGGCAGGCTGAGGCTGAGGCTGAGGCAGGCTGATGCTGAGGCAGGCTGAGGCTGAGGCTGAGGCTGATGCAGGCTGAGGCTGAGGCAGGCTGAGGCTGAGGCCGAGGCTGAAGGCAGACTGAGGCTGAGGCTGAAGCAGGCTGAGGCTGAGGCTGAGGCAGGCTGAGGCTGAGGCTGAGGCAGGCTGATGCTGAGGCAGGCTGAGGCTGAGGCTGAGGCTGATGCAGGCTGAGGCTGAGGCAGGCTGAGGCTGAGGCCGAGGTTGAAGGCAGAATGAGGCTGAGGCTGAAGCAGGCTGAGGCTGAGGCTGAGGCAGGCTGAGGCTGAGGCTGAGGCAGGCTGATGCTGAGGCAGGCTGAGGCTGAGGCTGAGGCTGATGCAGGCTGAGGCTGAGGCAGGCTGAGGCTGAGGCCGAGGCTGAAGGCAGACTGAGGCTGAGGCTGAAGCAGCAGGCTGAGGCTGAGGCTGAGGCAGGCTGAGGCTGAGGCTGAGGCAGGCTGATGCTGAGGCAGGCTGAGGCTGAGGCTGAGGCTCATGCAGGCTGAGGCTGAGGCAGGCTGAGGCTGAGGCGAGGCTGAAGGCAGACTGAGGCTGAGGCTGAAGCAGGCTGAGGCTGAGGCTGAGGCAGGCTGAGGCTGAGGCAGGCTGAGGAGGCTGAGGCTGAGGCAGGCTGAGGCTGAGGCTGCAGGCTGATGCTGAGGCTGGCTGAAGAGGCTGAGGCTGAGGCTGAGGCAGGCTGAGGCTGCGGCTGAGGCAGGCTGAGGCTGAGGAGGCTGAGGCTGAGGCTGAGGCTGAGGCTGAGGCTGAGGCTGAGGCTGAGGCTGAGGCTGAGGCTGAGGCTGGCAGGCTGAGGCTGAGGCTGAGGCAGGCTGAGGCTGAGGCTGAGGCAGGCTGAGGCTGAGGCAGGCTGAGGCTGAGGCCTGAGGCTGAGGCTGAGGCAGGCTGAGGCTGAGGCTGAGGCTGAGGCTGAGGCTGAGGCAGGCTGAGGCAGGCTGAGGCTGAGGCTGAGGCTGATGCAGGCTGAGGCTGAGGCAGGCTGAGGCTGAGGCCGAGGCTGAAGGCAGACTGAGGCTGAGGCTGAAAGCTGAGGCTGAGGCTGAGGCAGGCTGAGGCTGAGGCAGGCTGAGGCTGAGGCTGAGGCAGGCTGAGGCTGAGGCTGTGACTGCGACTGCCGTTGCCACTGCGACTGTCATCGCGAATGTGACTACGACTGCGAGAACAGCAGAATTCTACAACTGGATTCTCATCTGAATCTTAAAGGGAATGCTTCCAAACATGCTCCTACACATCGCTGTTATGTTGCTTTGCCGGGATAATTTCTTCAAAGAAGGAAAATGGCACTCGAACTGTGCACGAGCGGTCGTTTTGATGTCGGAAAGCACCTGATGAGTTCGCTCATCCTCTCCTTCCTCTGGATTTACTGTAACAAACAATTTCTTGCAGGTCAGGGGCCGAGGAACTGTTGCAAAACAGGCTTCATGCTTTGCAAGATCTGTGCGCGCTCATGTAGACAGATGCGCAACAACATGCGAACACTTAAATCAGAAAGCTTGTTTTTTACAATGTTTGCTGGCCCTCTGACCTGAAATACTTGTTTTTGTAATGGCTTATGGGGGGAGGGGGGAGGAATATGCAGGACGAACGGAACGAGTAAGGTTCGCGATTCGTTTGCGAAATCTCCTCCCTGAGCGAATGGTGCGAAAAGAATGCGGAGCATGGCAAAGCGTGTGATACCAATGTCGAAACTCACGCACTGAATCAATCATCTGATGAGCTTCCCTTTCCAGGCAACTCGTTCTCAGACGAGTCTGCGTTCGAAACGCCGCATCGTGCCAACATCCCTCTGTTCATATCTTACCACCCTGTTCACTATCGTCATCATCCTCCTTCTCCTCCTGCCTACGCCAACACAGCGTATGTAACCCGAGCGCCACCAGACTTGATGACAGAGCCCCCAACGGATGTGGCACGAGCGGGCTTCGACCATCCGTAACCGTTTTGGCTCAAGGTTTGATTGGCTCTGTGCTCCGTGCTTCGCGACACCATGGGGAACCCAAAGAAGGGGACCCCCGCTCACGAGAAGAAGCTGCGCAGCAACGAGGTACGCGGGGCCGCGAAGGGAGGGAACATGACCTCGGCAACGCACCAGCACTGGCCGAGCTGGTGAGGGATGCGCGCGCCATAGCTCGCAAACCCTTGGTGGACAACTTGCGCGACCTTGGGAGCCTCCTGGACGCGCGATCACGCCGGTCCAACCAGCATTAAGTCGGGCCTGTCCCCCTACAGGGGGATTTTCGACGAAAAACAAAGAATACCCCCAAAATAATCAAACATAGTCCAAAAATAGTCTGGGGACAATTTTTGGTGTATTTTTTTGCCTTTTTGGGGTATTCTTTGGGTATCTGTGATTTTTCGTCGAAAATCCCTCTGTAGGGGGACAGGCCCGACTTCAAACCAGCACTGCAGGCAGAGGTCCACCGCCCAGCGCGAGGCCGCCGCGGCAGCGGCGGCTGCTAACCGCTGCAGGGAGCGGCCCGGGCAGGAGACGGCCGCCCTCGAGGCCGCGCGGGCGGAGAAAGCTGCGCGAGGCGCGGGCCCCCCTTGGAGAAGAGAGAGCGATAGAGAGAGAGAGAGAGAGAGGGAGGGAGAGAGGGAGAAAGAGAGAGGGAGAGAAAGAGAGAGAGAGAGAGAGAGAGAGCGAGAGAGAGAGAGAGAGAGCGAGCGAGAGAGAGGGGAAGGCGCTCGAGAGGGCCAAGGGAAGACGACCGAGGGGGGCGCTCGAGGAGGCCGCCGCTACCAAAGGGGGGAGCTGCCGGCGGCCTCTCCGGGTGCGCACCACAGTGCCGCGCGCCTCCCCGAGCGGCCAGGCGAAGTGGTGCGCGCTCGGCGCGCCACGGCCCGCCCCCCGCGGCCACGCCAAAACGACTTGGGCCGACGTGCGCCGCGCGAAGGCCTCGACGAGCAGCTCCGCCACAGCCAAAACGCACACACACACACACCCGCAGAAGGAGACAGAGAGCGAGAGAGGGACAGAGACAGAGAGACAGAGAGACAGAGAGGGAGAGAGAGAGAGAGAGAGAGAGAATACGCTGCTTGGGGGGCTCCATATTTCTGATGCCCCGTTCCGTTATCTTTTCCTTTTCCTACTGCTGAAGCCCGCAGCTGTGCGTTGGATCAAGACCAAAGGTGCGTCTGGCCGTCAACTTTGTGTCGCGTCTCGTTGCGATCATGGCGAACCTCGCGGCGGGGGGCGTCAAGTCTCTGGGAGAGATGCTCGCGTGGGACGAGTCCGCAACCGAACAGATCGCGCAAACCTGGGGCAACATGGACCCCCTGAACCCATACAGTCGGCTCGACAAGCCCACGCGCTTCGACTCAGACCCGCCTGCTTGCTATCGTCTTCGAGACATGCCATTGAAAGACGTCGACAACGTTGTAAAAACGAAGCACGCCGTGGACTGGATCAATATTGGAACGGAGCGAGGGAGGGGAGGGAGGGAGGGAGGGAGGGAGGGAGGAGGAGGAGGAGGAAGAGGAGTAGGAATATGAATAGTAGCAATAGCAGCAGCAGCAGCAGCAGTAGTAGTAGTAGTAGTAGTAGTAGTAGTAGTAGTAGTAGTCGCAGTGGTAGTAGTAAGTAGTAGTAAACTAGTTTCAGTAGTATTGGTAGTAATATTAGTAGATCGTAGTAGTGGTATTAGTAGTAGTAGTTATATAGTAGTTGTCGTAGTAAGTATAGTAGTTAATCGTCGTCATAGTAGTAGGAGTAGTCGTAGAAGTAGTAGTAGTAGTAGTAGTAAGTATTCGTGTGTAGTAATTATAGTAGAGTAGTAGTAGTAGGTCCGTACTTTACCCCCGTGATATAGTAGTAGTAGTCATATACATTTGTAATAATAGTAGTAGTAGTAGTAGTAGTAGTAGTAGTCGTAGTAGTAGTAG